GCCCCCGGGGACTGACCCGTGCCCCTCTCTCCCACTCCTCCCAGGCGGTCGGCTCCTCCCCACTGGGCTCCAGTGAGGGGCTCCTGGGCCTCGGCCCTGGGCCCAATGGTCACAGCCACCTGCTGAAGGTACGGGCGGGGGGTGGGGGCCCTCGGGGCTGGGGAGCCCCGGCGCTGGGGCGGCCCCTGACCCGGCTCCCCCTGCCCTCTGTCTCCAGACCCCACTGGGCGGCCAGAAACGCAGCTTTGCCCACCTGCTGCCCTCGCCCGAGCCCAGCCCGGAGGGGAGCTACGTGGGCCAGCACTCCCAGGGCCTCGGCGGCCACTACGCGGACTCCTACCTGAAGCGGAAGCGGATTTTCTAGGGGGCTGGTGCCGGACGAGCCGCAGGGCCCGCACCAAATCACTTTTGGGTTTTCTGGTGTTTCGTTTTGTGTTTTTTTTTTTTTTTCTTTTGAATTTTCTTTCTTTCGGTAATAGAGAAATCTCAGAAAGACTGCTGAGCAGCTGGCCGGAGCCCGGGGGGCATGGGGGCGCCCGGGGCCTGCTCCCCGCGCTGAAACCCCGCAGCCTTAAGAGAGAGGGGCCCCCCGCCCGCCCTCCCCCCTGATCGGGCCTTTCCAGTGCCTTGGAGGTCCCGGCCTCCCGTGAGGAGCAGACTGTCCCCTCACCCCCCTTTTTAACTCCGACAATTGACTTCGGTTTCCTTTTCTGATTTTTATTATTTTTTAAACCATCCAGGGCGCCCCCACCCCACCCCACCCCACCCCCCAGCTCTGGTCCTTCAAGGTCCCGCCCTCCTGGGCCTCCATTCCACACGTTGCAGTTTGAAACCGCTCGGCCCTGCCCTCTTCCCCACGTCCACTGCGGGCACGGCTGTCTCCTGGCCCTTGCCTGCCCGCTCTGGCCTGTGCCCCCCTCCCGTCCCCGTCCGCGCCACAAGTCCCCGCGCCTTCTGATGCCTTAACGCTGGGCCGCAGGCCGGCGGGCCAGAGCCTCTTGACTCAGGACCAAACAGCTCTGGCCTGGGGATGGCCCCCTGGACTCGCGGGCTCCACCCTGGGGACAGGAGAAGGCCAAAGCTGTGGTCTTGGCAAAGCACCCCACCTCCCCTCCCACCCAGGCCCGGGTGCAGTCCCCTGCTGTGTGTGGAAGCTCCCCCCACCCTGCCCGCCTCACTGAGCCGCCGCCATCCCCCCTCGTGGAAGACAAGCCCCATCTGCATCCCCAGGCTGGAGCCCGGAGCTGGCCTCCTTTTGGCCCAGTGCCGGAAGCCAACGAACGCCGCGCCGACGGGCCCTGCACCTGCGCACCAGCAGGACCTGTCCCACCTGAGTGTGCCCCGGCCTGCTGGGCCGCCAGCTTTCCTCTGGGGGACCCCACCCCCCAACGACATCCTCTCCCCTACCTTCCCACACAGACCTTTGCTGAATTAAAGTTTGTAAGTAAACGGTTTTAAAGAAATCAGAGCTGGCTGGTTCTTGGGGTCAAGCAGTGGGCCCGGGTGAGGACTCTCGGATGGCCACGCAGAGCCGCGCGCCCCATCCTGCCTCGCCTGCAACCGGGGTGGGCCGCCCTGAAGCGCGGTGGCGCTTGTATTGGGAGGATTACGGGCCGCGGTTCGCGGGTGCGGCCTGCGCATGCTCGGTTGCCGAGTCACGTGGTGCCTGTCATGGCCGCCTCCGTGGCCCGGGGCGGCGTGAATGCTAGGGGCCTGCTGCGGGCGGCGAGGACCTCCTGGCGGAGCAGACCCGGGAGCTGTTCAGGGTCCGGCGAGGCGCCGGCGGCGATCAGGAAGTTCTGGGCGACAGGTACCGGGCGCGGGCAGCGTTAACCCGTCGCATGCCAGCGGGGCCGGGCTCGGCCGCTCACCCAACCGTGTTTTCCAGGCGCGCGGCCGGCGGGAGAGGAGGAGAACGGCGGCCCCGAGCGGCCCGGGGACGTGTGAGTGCTGGGGCCTCGCCCCTCTTCCTCAGCCCTCGCCGTGGCCCGCGGCCGCCTCCGGGCCTTTGTTCGCCTCGCCCCCCTCAGCCCCTGCCGGTTCCCTAAACCTGGGTTCTGCGGGGCGGGGGGCGGGGGCGATCCCGGCGTCCACGCCCCCCTTTGTCCCCAGAGTCAACGTGGTGTTCGTAGACCGGTCCGGCCAGCGGATCCCAGTGAGCGGCAGAGTCGGGGACAATGTGCTGCACCTGGCCCAGCGCCATGGGTTGGACCTGGAAGGTAGTGGGCCCGGCCCGGCAATCTGGGGAGGCCTTTATCCGCTCTCCCAGAAAAGCCCCACCCGTCAGAAGTGGCTCTCCCCAAGGGCTCCCCCACCACGGAGGGGCTGCAGCCCCAGGACCTTTGCACCTGCTGCTCCCGCCGTCGGATGCACCTTCCCAGGCTGCTCTGGCTCCCTCTCGTCCCACCTGTTAGCTCTGGGCAGCCCCGTCTCCCTCATCCCAGCGGAAGTCCCCACGGCCCTGTCACTGTCCTACCAGTGCGTTTGTCTCCCTGTTCTGTCTTTGTCATCTGTCCCCACTGAGAGCAGAGCCCCTGTGGGCCTCATTCTTACCCACCCGCTGCCCATCTCAGCCCTTAAATGTAGCAGGTGTTAGGTCAGCATCTTAAAGACAAAAAGAGCAGAAATTACCTAACACCGGGGCCGGCGCTGTGGCGTCGAAGGCTAAGCCTCCGCCTGCAGTGCCGGCATCCCACGTGGGCGCCAGTTCAAGTCCCGGCTGCTCCACTTCTGGTCCTGCTCTGGAGGACGGCCCACGTGCCCGGGCCCCTGCCGCTGGCGTGGGAGCCCAGGAAGAAGCTCCTGGCTCCCACCAGCCCAGCCCTGGCTGTGGCAGCCACTCAGGGAGTGAATCAGCTGATGGAAGATTCTCTCTCTCCTCTCTGTGTCTCTGCCTTTCAAATAAATAAAGAAAAAGGAAAGAAATTAAGTATGTTAACATATGAACTGATTGGCTTTTAAAAGTTATTAATTTGAAAGGCAGAGTTACAGAGAGAGAGAGGGAGAGGGAGATTTTCCATCTGCTGGCTCACTCCCCAAATACCCACAGCAGCCAGGGCTGGGCCAGGCCAAAGCCAGGAGCCAGGAGCTCCATCCGGGTCTCTCCTGTGGATGGCAGGGGCGCAAACCCTTGGGCCATCCTGCGCTGCTTTCCCAGGCGCATTAGCAGGGAGCAGGATCGGAAGTCGGGCAGCCGTGGCTCGAACCTGTGCTCCTGTGGGGCCCTGGTGTGGCAGGTGCCAGCCCCTGCCTGCATTTCCATGGCAACTGTACACACTGGAGGAGACCAGACCCGCTGCATTTTCTAGATGAGGAACCAGCCCCAGGCTAAACAGGCCTGGGCCACTCAGGAAAGTGGGGCAGAGGGGGCACTCAGGGTCGGCACCAGCTCCCGCCTCCTGGGAAGCCCCAGGTGGCCGCCGCAATAGCTGGCTCCCTGCTGCCCACTAGGGGAGAGACTGGCGGGGTTCCTGGTTCCCAGGCATCTCGTAGAGGGCAGCAGGGGGGCGGGGCCCGTATGTCTGTCCTCCGCCTGTAGAGAGTGGAGGGAGGAGGGACAGGTAAACACAGAGGTTAACGCCCTCACTTTGGTTGGCAAACACTCTTCAGAATTACAGTGGGGGAAGGTGATCAAGGGGGAGAAAGACAAGAAATAGGACGTGGGGACTCGAGGGACCACTGGAGTTGAACCCCCAAAGACAAGGAGGAGCCAGTGATGAGAAGAGCATCCCCGGTCATGCATGAGTGTAGCAGGTGCAAAGGCCCTGTGGTAGGATGAGCATGCTGTGTTCGCATTGCATTGAGGGTAATGGGAGGCGGGGGGGGGGGGGGGGGGACTCCAGGCCTGGGTGGGTAAGTTCTGGATTTTGTTCAGGGTGTGAAACCCTGTGGCAGGTTTTAGGTGACGAGGGACACTCCCCAAGCACAGACTGTTCCGTCAGAGGGTTCCGGGAGCATGCCCAGGGGCAGGTGGTCAGCAGGAAACCCCCGCTTCTGCCTATTTCGGTCCTCATGGGGGGTGGGGGCCCCTCCCAATGCGGCCGGGCACGGAGCGAGCTGGCCCCTCCCCCAGGAGCAGCGGGAGGGAGTTGGGACCAGAGACCCCGCGTGGCCTCTCCTCGCGCTGGTTGACGCGCGGTTCTCCCCCGGCCACCAGAGCTAGCAGAGTACAGGGTGGGGTGGTGGGGCACCCCGCGGGCGCGCAGGCCCTGGAGGGAAAGCAGGGGCCCCTCCCCGCCGCCCTCGGCCAAGCGGCACCTGCTCACCCGCGCCCTGTGCTTCCCGCCCGCAGGGGCCTGCGAAGCCTCGCTGGCCTGCTCCACCTGCCACGTGTACGTGAGTGAGGCCCACCTGGACCTGCTGCCTGCCCCGGAGGAGAGGTGAGTGGGGCGCTCGGAGCGCCGCGCGTGGGCCCCCGCCGCCGCCGCCGGCCCGCTAACGCCGCCCCCGCCGCCCCAGGGAGGACGACCTGCTGGACATGGCGCCGCTGCTGCAGGAGAACTCGCGGCTGGGCTGCCAGCTCGTGCTCACCCCGGAGCTGGAGGGCGCCGAGTTCACGCTGCCCAGGGTCACCAGGAACTTCTACGTGGACGGCCACGTGCCCAAGCCGCACTGAGGCGCGCGGCCGCAGCACGCAGGACCGCGCCGGGCCGCCGTGGCCGCGGGGCCGGCACTGAGGCCCAGCCCCGAGCACGGACAGGCCCGAGAGAGAGGGAGAGCGAGCGAGCGAGAGAGAGGCGGCGCTCCTGGGCCAGCCCGGGCGCAGGCCGCCCCGGAACCGCGCCCCTCCCGGCGCGATCGCCCCGAACCCGAGAATGGGACTGGAGCTGTAATAAAATGTCAACGCGGACCGTGGCAGCTGCGTGTCCTTGGGGGGGAGGGGCAGCGTGGGCCCCAGCTCCCCGCCCCCCAGCAGCAGCGATGGGGGCCCCCTCTTCCTGGGGGCGGAGGCCGGCATGGCCAGGCCCCGCCCCCGCGGCCGCGGAGGGATTTGGAGGGGTCGGGTCGCCCTTGGTCCCGAGCCGTGCCGGCGAAGGGAGCTGCGAGGAGGCAGAGCCGGGGGCGAGGGGCGCCCCATGCCGCCCCGCTCAGCCCCGAGCCGGGTGAGGCTTCCCGCTAGGAGCGGGCCCCGCTGCGCCCCGCGCTCCCAGGTGCGGCCCATCCTCCTGGAGCCGGCCCGGGGGCGGGGCGGGGCGCGGCGCCGTCGAGGAGGGGGGCTGGGCTGAGCGGGGCTGGGGCGCCATGGAGGCCAAGCCAGCCACGGGCTTCGTGCTGCGGGAGCTGCTGGCGCCGGGCTGTCTGGACCCCAAGCCCACCCCGGGACCCCCCGCGGGGCACGAGCCGATGACGCCCGCATGCCTCGGACCCAGGAGCAGGTACTTAAGGCGCACGCCCTCCCGCCTCTCCCGGGCCGCGCCGGGCCGCGGGGATCCAGGGGTCTTGACCCCCTAGCCCCTGGGGTTACCCAGGGGTCACCGTGGGGGTTGCTGAGACTGACCAGGGGGCGGTTCGGGGTCCCCCCGCGCACTCGGAGCCGCGCAGGGTGCGATTTTGACCCCAGCGATTACACGAGGTCAGCGGGGCCAGCCTGGTAATCGGCAAAATCGCAGCCGGCGGAGCCCGCGCCACGGCCCTGGCCCCCGAGGGTGGTCCCTGCCCCGGGTGAGCCAGCGACTCCCGGGTGGGGACAGTGGGGGCTGCCTGTGGCAGCGGCTGTGTGTGCGATTACTTTGTAACTTTTACACCCGGCTCAGGCTCGGACTCCGGAGCGCTTTGGAGCCCCAGGCTGGGGGTGGGGTGGGGACATGTGGCCTGCCCAAGGGAAGGGAGCTAGCGGGCGCAGGCCCTGGTGGGGATCCCCAAGCCCGGAGTCAGCCAGGCAGGGGGTGACCGCGCTCGGCTGCTTGTCCCCAGGTTACACTTCTGGCGCGTTTGCAAAGACCCGGTCAGCGCCCTGCGCGTCTTCCGCGAGAGACCACCGAGGCTCCCCCGGCCCCCTGGCGGGCACGCGCAGGCCCTGGGGCCCGGCTGGGAGCCAATGGCCCTGGGGACAGAGGACCCCCTGCCTCTGGCCAGGGCAGCCGAGGCAATCCAGGGCAGCGCATCTGCCTGCAGGCAGAAGTGCCTCAGCCTGGAGCCCCCGAGGGCGCCCCCCGCCCCGCCCCAGAGGCGGCCCCGGAAGCAGCCAGAGCCACGGAGGGGCATGGAGAAAGCGGACCCTCAGTTCCAAGGGGTGACCTTGAACTTTGCGATAAAGCCAGATGCCAGCCTGCAGATCACGCCCAGCTACAGGTAGGGACGGGGCTGGCCGGGCGGGGGGGCGCCTCCCGCAGTCACCCCTCGGCGGCCCGCGGGTGTGGATCGAGGCCCCTCTGTGAAGTGGGTGCTTACCAGGCAGCTCCAGGGAGTGCCGGACTTACCTTCCCCAAGGCCGCGTGTGTGTATGTGTGTGTGTGTCTGTCCCCGTATGTCCGTCCATCCGTCCACCTCCTCATTCACTCCCTAAATGGCCGCAATGGCCAGAACTGAGGCAGGCAGAAGCCAGCTCCATCCGGGTCTCCCACATGGGTGGCAGGGGCCCAGGCACGTGTGCTTTCCCAGGGAGCGGGATGGGAAGTGGAGCAGCCAGGACTCCCATGGGATGAGGTGTCACGGGGGAGACTCCTGCACCCGCTGCGCCACCATGCCAGCCCCAGTACCCTGTTCTCCCTCTGAGGTTGGGCGGCTCTGCGGGTACAGGACCTGCGCATACAGGTTCTCGCCTGGCCGTGGGCCGGGTCCATGATGGAGGCCTGGGGCTGGAGGCCGAGCCGGCCCCTCCCCAGCAGAGAGCCGGCCTGCCCCTCCCAGGGGTAGCTGCTGTTTTCCCCGACGCGGATTGCAGCCACACCGGCGGTACTGTGGGCAGTGAGCGGCGGCGGACAGCCCCGGGGGCCTGTGGCTCACGGACGCTCTGGGCAAAGCCCATTTTACAGATGGGGACATGAGCTGCCTTGTCCAAGGCCACACAGCGAGGACAGAGTAGGATAACTGGGACTTGAGCCTGGAGGGCTGTCCTGTTAGATAATACTGATTTTAGGGGCGGGCGTTTGGGGCAGTGGCTAACACACCACCTGAGTGCCCTCCATCCCACATCACGGGGCCTGCATCCCTTAAGGGCGCCGGTTCGAGTCCCGGCTGCTCCACTTCCCATCCAGCTCTCTGCTATGGCCTGGGAAAGCAGCGGAAGATGGCCCCAGTGCTTGGGCCCCTGCACCTGCGTGGGAGACCGGGAGGAAGCTTTGCACTGCTTTCTCAGGCACAACCCAGGGAGCCAGACCGGGAGTGGAGCAGGCACACGTGGGATGGCGGTGCCGCAGGCCAGGGCGCCGGCCGCAGAGCCGGGGCTGTCGGATGTCGGCGGCCCCTTCAGGGGTTGCCTGATACCTTGATCGTGAGCCTGCGTTTGGGGGGCTGTGGCAACAGGCTCACTTGTCCCCAGTGCTGACGCCTCGTCTCCCTCCAGCCCGGCCCATGGCAGCAGCCGCCGCCGCACCCAGGAGCCCCCACCAGGCCCCGCCGGGGGTCCTGAAGCCAACCCCCCGGGAGGCAGCGAGATGCTGGGTGAGTGCTGAGCGCTCAGTACCTGGGGGGCCTGTGTCCTGCACTCGCTCGCTCGTCATCTCTCTCCCCGCCCTGCCTTCCGCTTCCCCATTTAGAGCAGCCTAGGGGAGTGGCAGCACCCCTCCCCGCCGGCTGAGTCACCCCCACCCCCGGCTTCCTCCCCTGGGAGCTGCGCCATCTGTCTCCCATCTGGTAGTGCGCGCGCGCAGGCCGGGCCCGGAGCCAGGTGGGGCCTTCCGAGACCCCCCCACACACACACGTGTCACACGGATGGGCTCCTGAGCTCAGCGGCTGGGCCTCTGACCCCTGCCCCTTGACCTCTGACCCTCAGGGCCGCGGCGCTGCGCTTCCTGTCGGACCCAGAGGACCCCGCTCTGGAGAGATGCGGAGGACGGCACCCCACTCTGCAATGCCTGTGGTATCAGGTCCTCAGCCCGGTCGGGAGGGCGTGGGGTGAGGGCCCCCAGACCTGGCCTGCGAGCTGAGCCAGGGTAGGGCCTGCAGGAGGGGGGACGTCCCCCTCTGGGGGAAAACGGTGGTGTCTGGGCTCCCCTGCTACATCCCGAATGGCGGTTTCTCGTACCCCCACCCCAGGTACAAGAAATACGGCACCCGCTGCTCCCGCTGCTGGCTGGTGCCCAGGAAAAGCGTGCAGCCCAGAAGGCTGTGTGGCAGGTGTGGGGTGTCCCAGGGGTCCCGCCAGGGCCCTGCTCAGGACGCATAGGCCAGCCCTCCCCCCACGGAGCCTCTGGTGGGGCGAGTGAGGAGAGCACCCGCCCGCCTCGTGCCTGGCAGGTCCCCTTCAGGGGTCCCGGGTGGGTGCTGCGGGCCCCTCGTCGCGGCCGGCTCGTCCGAGCCCCTCAGGAGCCGCCGTGGGCCACGGCGCTCGTGTTGTACTGAGCAGCGACAATAAAGCAGACAGAGCCATTCCCAGGGCAGAGCCGTGTGCTGCGGGGGCCGCGCCCGTGCAGGAGGGGCAGCCGTGACTCATGGATGTGGGGGGCCACGCTCGGGGCGCACTGAGGGGCTTCGTCAGGTGCGCGCAGGGCGGGCATTGGGCCGAGCAGCTGACGCCTGCGCCCCACACGCGAGAGCAGGGCCCCACGCCGGCCGCCAGCTCCCCACTCACTTGCTGCCTGGCAGGCGGCAGTGCCGGCTCACGGGCCTGGCTTGGGCCTGGCTGGGCTCCGGCGACTCAGGGCATTCGGGGGGGTGAATTGATTTATTTATTGGAAAGGCAGAGTTGGAGGGAGGGAGAGGTAGGTCTTCCATCTGCTGGTTCACTCCCCAGATGGCCACAGTGGCTGGGCCGGGCCAGGATGAAGCCAGGAGCTCCATCCGGGTCTCTCCCGAGGCAGCAGGGACCCGAGCACTTGGGGCACCCGCTGCTGCTTTCCCAGGTACCTTAGCAGGGAGCTGGGCCGGAAGTGGAGCAGCCGGGACTGAAACTGGCGCCCACATTGGGTACCGGTGTCGCTGGCAGCAACTGTCTCCCTGCACCACAACGCCAGCACCAACTTAACATTTCTGAAAAAATTTTAAAGGGATAGTGCTGTGGTGTAGTGGGCTAAGCCTCCGTTTGTGGCACCAGAATCTCTTATGGGCGCTGGTTGGAGTCCCTGCTGTTCCACTTCCGATCCAGCTCTCTGCTGTGGCCTGGGAAAGCAGTGGAGGATGGCCCAAGTGCTTGGGCCCCTGCACCCACGTGGGAGACCCAAATGGGGCTCCTGGCTCCTGGCTCCTGGCTCCTGGCTTCGGATCGGCGCAGCTCTGGCCGGTGCGGCCATCTGGGGAGTGAACCAGCGGATGGGAGACCTCTCTCTCTGTAACTCTTGTCTTTCAAATTAATAAATCTTTTATTTTAAAAAGTCCTCTTTAGAGGCAAAGAAACTGAGGTCCCATCCACTCATTCTGTCCCCAGATGCCAGCATTGGCTCCTGCAGGAATAGCCGGGCTGGGGTCTCAACGGGTCTCCGTGGAGTGGCAGGAACGCAGTCATTCGGGCTCATTCCCAGGCCCTGGGATAGGATAGGGCCCGCCGGCTGACTGCTGTCAGCCACATACACACACACACACACACACACACACACACACACGTTTATTGAGCAAGTACTGAGTACCAGTAGGGTGAAGCGAACAAAATAGTGCTGTAGAGAGAAATCTGTATGGTTCTAGAATGTTCTAGAATGACAAGACCTATCCAGTTAACTGTCTGATAGTGGGTGAGCGTTTGGCTGCGTGTTGAAGACGCTGCTCGGGACGCCTGCATCCCACATCTGAGTGCCTGGGTTCGAGTCATGGCTCCACTCCTGGTTCCGGCTTCCTGCTAATGCGCTCCTTGGGGAGCGAACAGGCAGGGGCCTGAAGGCCGCAGTAGTTGGTCCCGCCTACTCCCTGCTTGACCCCAGGCAGGGGCCACTGTGGGCATTTGGGCAGTGAACGTGTAATCGAATAAGTAGAGAGTTGGCCTTGGAAGAAAAACTAAAGCAACAAAGGTGTCGGGGGTGGGTGCCTTAGCCACGGGGCCCACATGGACCAGGAGCCCGCCGTGGGTCTGAGATGAGGGACGGCCTGGCAAGGCCCTGGGGCGGGCAGGATTCGCCATGAGATGGGGGGTCGCAGGGGCTGCGCCTGGCTGTCCCCGGCACCCAGCACCCAGCACCCTTCTCCCTTCTGTCCTGTTTCCTGAGCTCATCTTTGCTCATGAATCACGTGGAGCAGCCAGGGCTTCCTGCGCGGGGGCGGGGGCGGCCGGGAAGGAGGCCCAGCTGTTCTCCTCCTGCCGGGCTGGGCTGCAGGATTCCGTGCACTGGGGGGTGCAGCTGACACCTCGTGTGTGTGTCTGTATCAGAGTGGGCCTACGGGTAAACTGAGGCACAGCACTGGGTAGGGGAGTCCAGTGCAATAGGTGGGACCTCCCCAAGGGCTGACCCCACCATAGCCGCCACTGTGACTCCTCCCCTCCCAAAGGGGGTTCCGCCCATCCCGGCAGAGGGGCCTGACCGTGCCAGTAAGCAGGCTTGGGGACAGCACCGCGGGCCACCTCCCCAGATGGGGTCAGAGGGCAGCACTGGGCGGAAGAGATAAGGCAGGGGGGAGGGGGAGGAGGAGGAAGGAGCAGGGGCCGCGCCCAAGCTCCCTGGCACTCCTGGAAAAAAAGACTTGGAGGGGGTCTGCCCTAGTAGGCTGTGCCCGCCAAAACACTTCTGCCCACAAGACTGATTCGAACTCTGGACCTGAGTCCCATCGCAGAGAGCAGTCGGGGCTGAGTCGTTTTTTATAAACTTTACTGGGGAAAGTGGGTAGAAAATGGGGGTGGCGCCCCTTGAGCTGAATAAATAATAAATAGAACGGCAAAGAAGCCCCCCTCGTGTGCATCTGGGGGGCGACCCCCGGCCCGCGGGGAGAGGGGAGCAGGCTCAGGCTGACGTCAGCTGGATGGCGAAGACCTCGCCCCCCGCGGGCGACTCGGCAGAGTCCTCCGCCTCCGGGCCGCCCTCCGCGCCCGAGCCGGCGCCGCCGCCCGCGCCGTTGAGACACACGGCCTCGCCCGAGCTCTCGGCTTCCTGCACGTTGTATTCGCCCTTCTTGCACGCCGTCGATTGCACGTAGAAGGCCAGGCCGGCGCCCGCGGCCAGCAGCACCGCGCCCCCCACAGCACCGCCCACGGCGATCCACAGCCACGGACCTGTGCGGGTTGGGGAGACCCTCACGGAGAATGGGCAGGCTCGGGGCTCCCCCAACCCCGAACTACCCCTGTCGCCTCCCCAGGAGCAGGAGGTCCGTCCTGTGCCGGGCAGGCGGCCCCCCACCCCGTGTGCTAGTGCGACCCCAGACCCAGCTTACAAGCTCCTCCAGCCCATGGCGATGGAGGCTCATTTTGTGCCCAAGCCCCTCCCCGATCAGTCAGCTCCCCCCATCCCCCAACAGGTCGGATGTGGCCTCCAGCCCAGGAAGACCCCAGCCCCAGGAACTGCACAAAGTGGGGGAGGGGACCTAGCTGAGCCTCCGGGTCTTTTGTTCCTGATCCCCGTCCAATCCCCTTTCCCCACAGTGACACAGCAGAGAGTGAATTGGATCCCCTCCCCGACGCAGGAACCCACCCCAAGTTAATGGGGGGGGGGTCCTGTACAAAGTTAATAGGCAATGCCTCCTTAGGAAAACCTGCGTATGGAGTTCAAGTTTTGCACCAAAATCAGGTCATCTTTTCAATGCGTTTTTCCACGAACTTTTTGAATTACCTTCTAGTCCCAGCGTGCCCTGTCCCGCTGCGCCTCCCGTCCCTAACCGGCCATCTGCTGGCGGCCCCTGATTCCCGTTCAGGTGCACCCAGCTCTCGTCCGTGGGGACCCAAAGGGAGGCAGAGAAGCAGCCGGGCCACCAGGGCCCAGGGCCCGCCCCCAAGTCCGTCCCCGCCGCTCACCTGCCACGCGCACCGTGATGCGCCGCGCGTGGCGGCCGTGCGCGTTGGTGGCCTCGCACTCGTACTCGCCGCCGTGGCTGCCCATGGCGCCGGCCACGCTGAGCGTGCTGTTGTTGCTCGACAGGCCGATGTTGGGGGCCCCGGGGGGCGCGCGCCAGCTGATCTGAGCTGGGGGCCATGCCTCCGCGCGGCAAGTCAGCGTGAAGTTCCCGCCCGGGCGCACGCCTCCCGAGGGTGAGGCCGCCAGCTCGGCCACTACGGGCCGGTCTGCAGGGGGACACGGGAGCGAGGGGAGCGCTGAGCGCAGGCCCCGCCGCTGAGCGGGTCCCCCCGACTCCCGTTCAGCCACCCCCTCGTGGGCGGGGCAGGCGAGGCTCCTCCCTCGGATCAGCGCCCTGGACCCTCAGAGCAGGGCTGTTTGGAGAGCTCACATCCCTAACTGGAGTGCCCGGTTCGCGTCCTGGCTGCTCCACCTCCCATCCAGCTTCCTGCTGAGAACGTGCGCCCTGGGAGGCAGCCGGTGATGGCACAAGTACTTGGGCCCCTGCCACCCACGTGGGGGACCTGGATGGAGCTCTAGGTCCCTGGGCTTTAGGCCTGGCCCATCGCCAGCTTTTTCGGGCATTTGGGGGTAGGGGGTGAACCAGTGAGTGGAAGATCTCTCTCTCTTTGCCTTTCAAATAAAATGAAAAGTAAAAACTATATAGGGCTGCGGGTAGGGACTAAAATTCGGCACCCTGCTTCAGTGAGTGGGGGGGGGGGTCCTTCTGACCCAGAACTTGGAAGGGGCTGTGCCCCCCCCCCCAGGATTTTCGTACCCTCCAGTTTGGCCTAGGAGTCCCCCTCCCAGACAATGGAACTGGCGTGGAGTCCCCTCCGCCTCGACCGCCCACTCACATTCCACACCCACAGTGACGGTCCGGGAGTCCGAGCCGTGCGCGTTGGTGGCCACACAGAGATAAGTGCCCGCATCCTCCCGCGACACGCGCGGTCGCGCAGGTCGGGGCGCGCCCTCCCGGGAGCAGCGCACTCGTGGCGAGGGCCGGCCCCGGGCGGCGCAGGCCAGGGCCGCAGCTTCGGCCCCTTCCAGCCACGTCTGGTCGCTCGGACACGTGGAGTCGTCCATCTGCGGCGGCGCTGCCGTGGGGGTGGGGGAGGGAGGGGCGCGTCAGGGCGGGGCCGGGGCCTCGGGGGCTCCGCCTGCTTCCCCGCCCGCCCGGGCCCCGCTCACACTCCGCGCTCACGACGACTGTTTTGACCGCCGAGCCGTGCGGGTTGGTGGCGTTGCAGACGTAGATCCCGGGTGCCAGGTCTCTAGGGACGCTGGGGTCGCTGGGACTAGGGTTTAGGGGCGCCAGCGGCAGCAGCAGCCCCTCGCTGGCGCCCTCGGAGCCCACGCACTGCACGCTTGGCTGCGGCTTCCCTTCCACCTCGCAGGAAAACAGCTGTTCCGATCCTTCCACCCACGTCCAGTTGCTGGGGCAGCTCCGCTCCTCAAAACTGGGACCATCTGGGGGTGGGGGGCAGAGGTGCAGCGGGGCCGGGGTTCACACAGCGGGCACGAGGTCCAGCCGGAGCCGTCCCGACAGCCCCCGCCCGGCCGCCCACTCGCTGCCCAGGACTCACACTCCACCGTGACGGCCACGTTTTTGGCCGCAGAGCCCCGAGCATTGATGGCCTCGCAGCGGTAAGTGCCCGCGTGCTCCCGGGCCACCAGCAGCAGCCCCTCGATGACGTCGGCTTGCCCGGAGCGCACGCAGCTCACGCTGGGCGGCGGGACCCCGTGTGCCACACAACTCAGCGACGCTTCTGTTCCTTCCAGCCACGTCACGCGTTCCGGGCAGCCCACGCTGTCCAGCGCCGGTGCGTCTGCACAGGGGCGCGTGCGTGGCTCAGCCTATCGGCCCTACACCCCTCCCTCCCAAACCCCTCCCCCCCAAACCAGGGCAGCTTGAAAAACTTCAGCCTGCCTCGACCGCCCCCCTGGGCAAAGCTCCACCCAGAGCCACGCCCCTCCAGCCCTCTCCAACACCTGTGCGCGCTCTCGCTCGCCAGCCTGGCCCAGGGCGCACTTTCAGACCCCACAGGTGTCAGAGCTGCGCCCTGCGCACCCCGACTCACACTCTACGGTCAGCGTCACGTCCTTGACCGCTTCGCCCTGGACGTTGGCCGCGGTGCAGCGGTAAGTGCCGGCGAGCGCGCGAGTGACCGGGCCCAGCAGGCCCAGCGCCAGCACCGCACCGCCGTCGGACCGCGCGCAGTGCACCGCGGGCGTTGGGTTTCCGCGAGCCTCGCAGCGCAGCGTCTGCTCTGGGCCCTCTGGCCACGTCCAGCTCCTGGGACAGTCCGCATCGTCCAGCCGGGGGGCGTCTGTGGGCAAGGGCGCGGGACACACAGCCTGGACGTGCATCCACAGCAATGGCCGTGCCGTGGGACCGGGCCGGTCCTCGGGCGTCGCCAGGACGTGGGGGAGGGGGGAGCGGGGAGGGGCGGCTAACAACTCACATAAGACACGAAGCTCTGCGCTCCCGTTCTTGCTCAGGGTCTCCCCGTCCAACTCCAGAGTGGCGTCGCAAAAAAAGCTGCGTCCGTCGTCGCTCTCGGAAGCATTAAACTGGAGCTGGGCGGGCTGCCCCGGGGCTGCAGCGGGAACTCCCTCTAAGGTGACCAGGGCTCGGGCCCCGGCTGTGCAGGTTACTGTCACCAACTTCCCCTCGGGGGCGCTGGGTTCGCTCAGGGTCAAGAGGGGCGCCGGGAAACCTGGGGGCGGAATGTCCGTCCGAGTCCGCCTCCCACCCACCCGTCAAGGCCCGCCCCCCTATATGCAGGAACCCACCTGCTGCGGGGTCCCGCCTCTTCAACCCCCATCCGCCCCCGCCCTGTCGGGGAATCAGGCCCCGCCTGTTCCGGTCCCGAGGCCCGGCCCACCCGTCGCCCCGCCCTCGCGTCCCTCCGGCCGCGCCCTCGAGGTCCCGGCTGGTTCCCTCTTACTATAGACGGTCACGTTCTCGCGGCTTTCCCGCCGCTCGCCCCCCAGGGTCACAGCGCAGACCAACTGCTTGATGCCCTCTTCCTCTGCCGTGGCGGTGGCGGTGGCCACGATTGCGTCCCCCTCGAGGGTGACCTCTGGATTCAGCCTCTTGTCGCCCAGCGCGAGGTGGACCCCAGCCTCCGAGGCCGGGAATAGTCCGTCCAGGGTGCAGCTCACGAGGCTTTGCGAGTCCACTTCCAGGACCCGGGGAGCCAGGAGACGCGGCGAGTCCAGGGGCAGGGCTGGGGGTGGGGGTGGGGAAGTGGTGGTCAAAGACCAGAGCTGGACTTCAGATACAGACGGAGTGCAGTGAGCGCTCAGGATGTACTAAGCACTTAGCCCGCAGTGCCATCTCACAGGCACAGCGGGAACCGGTGTCCAAGTCGGCATTTTGGCCGGGTCCCCTTCTTCTCCGCACCCCCCACTTACCGTACGTCCAGAGCTGTCTAGGAGCCGAGCTGTTTTCAAACAGCGCCAGGCCCTGCGGCCGCAGGTCCAGCTCGGCGCGGCAGGAGAAATTGGCTCCATGGTCTTCCCTCCGCGCCAGCACCGTGGCCGTGAGCACCGCGCCCCGCGCTCGGGCCGGTTCTCCCGCAAAACTGCGGCGGATCAGCTCCTGGGCGCCCCGAAGCAGGGTCAATGTGAGGCTCCCACGGGGCCCGGCGCCCGGGACCCTACAGCTCAGGGTGAAGTTCTCGCCCACCGGCTGCCAGGGAGGCAGCGGCACCAGCTCTACGCGATCCGGCCGCTCTGCAAGGTGGGGGGAACCGCGGCTCTTGCAAACGCCTGGGCTTCCAGGGGCTTGGTGTGGAGCCCAGGGGGATCCGGGGCCGAGAAGGGCAGGGCGCGGGGACCCAGAGGGCGGGGTCTGAAGGGGGCGGCCCCCGAGACCCAGGGGGCGGGGCCTGGGAGGGAGCGAAAGTAGTGGAGTAGGAGCGTGGCCACCCAGAACTCACGGAAAGTGCGAATGAGCCCACGCGCCTGTAGCGTGCGCCGCGCGCAGCGGAAGAAGCAGACGGGCTGGGTCTCCGGCTCGCGGATGTCCACCAGCTGCCGCGCCAGCCAGCGCAGCCCCCTCTGGGTCCCGTTCCGGCGCAGCGAGGTCTCCAGGCCGCCGCGCTCCGGCCGAGGGCAGTTGGTACTGCAATTCAGCCACAGCGAGCCCCCGCGCTCCACAAGCGCCACGCGGGGCTGCAGGTCCGCCCAGAAGGGCTCCTGCGCGACCGCTGCCCGGGGAAACGCGAGCTCAGCCTGCGGCGCCAACGCCCTGAGATCTTAGTGCCCCTACACCGAGTCAAGGGGTCCTGGGGGTCAAGCAGAGACCACATCCAGGAATGAACCCGGGAGTGCCGCGCCCTGCCCAGGCCTCGGGGGTGCAGGTGCGCTCCTGGAGGGACTCTCTGAAATATGGCGGAGGAGACCCCTGGTCTCCCAGACGCCCATGCAGCCGTGGGAAAGCAAGACGAGGTGGGGTGGGGGGAGGCGAGAGGAAAGATGGGCTCCTTCATGCACACAGCGACGCTGGAAGGGACCCCGGGCGAGGGACTGGGGAGTCCACCAGTTCTCGGGGTCTTGGCCGACTTCCAAGAGAGAGGGAGTCTGAAGCTGGGGGCGAAGGCAAGTCCCCTATGAGGCTGGGTTCGAAATAAAGGAAGACCCCAGACCTGGGTGAGGAACGCGGGAAGAGGGCGCGCGGCCAGGCTCGCGGGAGGAACGGAGGAACGCGGTTGCCAGGGCTCCGGGTGGAGGGAGAACAGCGCTTCTGAGTCACGAAGGTTGGGGAGCTGGGGGTCTTTGCGGATCGCGAGTGGGGGAGATGCCAGTCGGTGGACCACGGTGTGCAGCCAAGCGGGAGGAGGCACCCGGGGCGGAGGGAACCGCAGAGACCCTGGGGTCTCCGGGGCGCAGGGTTGGGTACAGATGAGCACCCCGGAGCTCGAAGGAGGGGTTCGGGTGGAGACTCGGGTGAGCGCGGAGTAGGGGGGGAAGGGGAGAGGCGAGGAGATCGGGGCTCAGGGCAGAGGGCGGGAGCGTGGGAGCAAGGCGAGGGCGGAGCCGGGAGGGGTCTGGGAACTCCGCCCCCGGCCCTGTCCACCCCGAGCCGGGGCGGGTTCTTACCTGACAGGCGGAGGATCCCCAGGCCCAAGGCTACCCAGAAGCCGAGTAGCGCCCGGCGCAGCCCTGGCGAAGGCCCTGGCATCGCCGCCGCGGGGGAAGCGCAGAAGGCGAGGGGAGCCCGAGTGGCGAGTTGAGCCAGAGGACGGCGCGGCGCGGCGCGGCGCGGCGGGCGCAGTGTGGGGGAGGCAGAGTTGCGCTCGGGGATTGGTTTAACGTTGGTAACTTGGTTTCCAAGGAGGGGGCGGCGGCAGAGGCGGCGGGGGGCGGGCGGCGAGCGTGCGCGGGGCTCCGGGCCTTGGAGCAGGCGAGCTGGCGGGAGCGAGCGACCCCCGGGGGTCTGCTTGCAGGCCCGCCCGGTAGCCGGGAGCCGTGTGGGGGCGACGGCGCTCTCCCGCGTCATCGCGGGCGGCGGCGCGGAGGTCGGGGAGGAGGCGGGGGCGGGGAGGGGGATGCTGGATTGCCTTTCCCAAACCCCTGCCTTGGATGCTCGGATAACCAACCGGACTCTCGGCTCCGCCTCTATACTTAGCTCCACCCACCCGCGCCCCCTTAGGGCGCGCGGATGGATTTGGGGGCTTGGAGAGGTTTGGGGAGCGCCGCCTCGGAAAAGGGCAGTTCTAGGCGGGGGGAGGGAGAGGGTGCTGGGTTGCCTCCCGCCCCGAGCCGTCTCCCTGCTCCCACGGCGAGCTCGGGGTTACAGCCACACCCCTAATCCCCCCTCCCGCTCGGCTCCGGCACGCGACGGAGGGGGCGGGGACCAAAGTGCCAGCGAGTCGCAGACACGTGTGCGTGCGCGCAGCCTTCGCGGACGTCTAAATGAGAGTCGGCTCGGCTCCGGGGCTGTATTTACCCAGCGTGCAGCGGGCATGTGTCTGCTCGGCTGCCGAGAGCGCGAGCCGCCGTGGAGCGCCCACCCTCGGAGCGGCGGGCGGGGCCCCGGACCCCGGCATCGGCGAGCGCGCGCGCGCGACAGACCCTCGGAGATGCTTTTGACCTTGCCACATCCGGGCCCAGGCGTTGACACCTCCGACCCAACCCCTGCCATGCGCCCGCCTGGCCTGCCGGCCACCACTTGGACGTTGCCAAGGCATCTCACGTGGCTCCTCTTCATGAGCCCTTCCCGCTGTCACTACCGGGGTACCTCGTCTGCCCACCCGTGGCCCCCCCATATGCCCATGCCACCCCGCCCATCTGCGGGCTCAGCCCGGGCGCTCGTGACGCGCGGTGGGGAGCGAGTCCTCGCTCCACCGTGGGCCTCGGCGAGGGCGCACGGTCCGGGGGTGGGAAAGGAAACTTAACATCCAATCAGAGCCGCTGCGTGAGAAAGGCGGAGCCAATCAGCACGAGCCGTGCCACGGCGCGCCCCGCCCCGCCCCCCGCCCAGGGCCCTCCCAGGGCCCCCGGTTTCGCAAGCGTCTGCAGCACTTCGATAAAGCCAGCCAGAAGAGGGGGTTTGCTTATTTCTTTATTATTTTAACTACACCGGCTGGGAAGGTGGAGGCAGGTGAGACCCCGAGCGAGAAAAACCTCAGATGCCGCCCTCGGGGGTGGGGGGAGATGAGGGACGTGGAGAAGGCAGTTTGCAGCTGGAGACCCTCGCCTTGGAGGGGCTACACGAACGAGGCTGGCTGAGGCTTTATGGATCCGGCCCGGGTTCCCCAGACTGTTCCAGATTCCCTTTGTCTTCCCGCTCGGCCGCCGTCCAGCAGCCCCTTCTACACCTGGGCTTTCAGCGCCAGGCACCTGCGCAGGTAGGCACCTGCTACGACGAGCAGGATCCCCAGCAGGGCCGCGATGGAGGCGGAGGCCAGCGCCTTGGACTCGGAGCTCCAAGCTGGGAGCAGGAGCGAGGGGAGAATTAGAAGCGAGGGCCACGGAAGTCTGCCCACCCGCGTGCAGCTTGGGCTCGGCCTGTGCGCCCTCCTCCTGGGCTCCTAACCCTTGACCCCATCCATCCCAACCCCCTCCCCCACGGTGCCCAAGGCGACCCGGGCGCCTCACCGAGAGCTTCGAGCATTACGGGCGCCGAGCTGCTGCGGACCACCAGGCCGCCGAGGTGGAGGCGCGCGTGGCAGGTCACGGGCTGCCAGAAGTCCCGCGGCCCAGCGCGCAGCTGGTAGGTCAGCGTCACGTTGGCCAGATCGGGGCGGGTGAAGTGCGCCAGGCTCTCGGAGTAGATCACCCGGCCTCCTCGCCTCAGGGTCACAACCATGAAGCCCACCGGGAACGCGTGCGTCACGTGGCAGCGCAGCGTGTACTTGCTGCCCACCAAGACCGGAGGGTCCAGGACCACGCTGCGCGGCTGTTCTATGGCGAGAGAGAGGGGATCCCCGGCCCCAGCCCCCCGAGTCAGCCCGGCGTGCGCCCCCCTTCCTCGGCCTCCCTCCCCTCGCCGCCCCAGCCGCACCCGAGCCTCACTGTAGGCGGTGATCCTGGCCGTGGCCTCGCGCGTCTCCCCGGCGCAGGTGACCAAGCAGGTCACGCTGGAGTTCCAGGCTCTCACGTCCAGCAGCTGCTGAGACGCCCACCCCGGGCCGCTGCGCGTCAGGCCGCGCCGCAGCTGGGTGCGCAGGCGGGGAACCCCCGCCAGGGGGCAGCTCGTGCTGCAGTTGAGCCACAGGGAGCGCCCGGGCGGCACAGCAGCAAACTCGGGGCTGATCCGCACCCAGAAAGGCGCCGCGGTGCCCGAGGGTGCAGGGGAGCCGCCCCGGGGGCCTGGCGCCCGCTCCGTCGCGTTCCCGCCTCCCCGGCCGACGGCCCCCAGCACGAGCGGCAGCGACAGGAGACAGAGAGACCCCATGGCCGACTAAGGGCGCTCAGGGCGGCTGGCTCGGGAGATAAGGAGGCTCACGGCTCCGCCCTGGGGGCCCCCCGGAATTCCAAACTCCAAGAAGTCATTGCGGGTTTTATTTTTATTTATTTTCCTGCAGAAGGGTCCATAGAGTCACTAGAATTCCCGAAAGTCATGAACAGAGCCCAGCTTTGGCTGCGAGCCCCCCCCCCGGGGGGGCGGGGGTGAGGGGAGGGGTGGGGGTGAGGGGGGGGGCCTCAAAGCCGCACACCGAGGGCTTGCAGCTGGAGTTGAGAAACATCAGGCCCGGGCACTGGGGCAGGGTGTCCCGAGCCGGCGGTCCTGCCCCTGCCCCTGCAAGGTGCCCGTGAAGGAACAGGTAGGAGGTGGTGGGGGCACATGGGCAGGGGGCACAGTCTCTTGGGACTCCATGGTATAGCTGCTGGGGAGTGGGCACCCATGTTGAGGCCTGGCCACCTCGTGTCACGGGGAACATTGGCAGAGTTGCATGTGGGTTAGAAGTGGGTAACCAACAGCACCAGTACTGGGGGTGTGGGGTGGACCTCCGGGGGAGGCCCTTGAGCTTGTAACCATGGCTAGTCCATACAACGTCTTCGTGCAAGACAGCAAAAGCACCCCCCTTGCTTTTTGAGGGGAAAAGCAGCTTGGCCGGCCAATGGTATGAGAAATTCCGGCCATGCTTGATTTAATTTTTGCCAGGTGCGTTTGTGCAGTGCACAGCCAGCACAACTGTACCTGGCCACCCTGAATGAGATGAGACCAAGAGCTCCACGGGGCAGGGGGTGGGGGGTGGGGGGCAGGAACCTACTCTACTTGCCCTGTCCACCACTCCATTCTGCATCAAAGGCAAATTATCAATAAATAGCTGGCAAAATAAATGAATAAATACATCCAAGTCAAGAGTTAAAAGAGCAGCTGTGTTTCCACGCTCCAAGTGTCTGTGCGGGCTGTCACGTCTTCCTTAGTGCCGTGGGGTCTCCGCCTGCTGCGAGAGTGCGTGCCCGTTCCCACGGCCGGGTCGTGTGTCCACTCTCTCACTCTCTGGCCAGGCCAGGCTCCTGGATCAGTTCCCTCCTCCTGGTCCAGTTCTTTGGCTACGGGTCAGGCCCGAGGCCTGGGGCAGTCCCGGCTGTGCAGGTACCATGACCCCAAAATGCTGTCTGTGTCCTGCCACCCCCTCCCCCCACCGTGGCCGGAGGAGGACGTGGCTGCAGCTCCGTGGCCCGGGTCCACCGCTCTGCTCAGCGTGGCCGGCGCGTGGGGGGCAGGGGCTCAGGACGGCGAGGCTTGCGGCGTGTTCAGCTTCACGGTGGCCGCCTCCTGTGCCTTCTGCAGCTTGTACTTTTTGATCTTCCTCTGACGGTTGTAGACGTAGGCAGCGGTGCCCCAGGTGCCCAGGAGGACCACGGCCGCCACCACGATGATGATCACCACGTTACTGTGCTTGTCTGCGGGGGGAAACACGGCCCAGGATTGAGTTATTTAAGATTTACTTTTATTTATTTGAAAGACAGAGTTGTAGAGAGAGGCAGAGACAGAGAGAGAGGTCTTCCATTAGCTGGTTCACTCCCCAGTTGGTCGCAATGGCTGGAGCTGCGCTGATCCAAAGCCAGGAGCCCCTTCTGGGTCTCTCATGCGGGTGCAGGGGCCCAGGGACTTGGGCCATCTTCTACTGCTTTCCCAGGCCTATCGGAAGAGGAGCAGCTGGGACTCGAACCAGTGCCCATAGGGGATGCCAGTGCTTCAAGCCAGGGCTTTAACCCGTGCGCCACAGCACCGGTCCCGGCCCATTATTTATTTCAAGGGCAGAGAGAGAAGGAGACACATCTTCCATCCACTGGTCACCCCCCAAATGCCTGGAACAGCCAGGGCTGCACCAGGCTGAAGCCAGGAGCCCGGAGCTCCATCCGGGTCTCCCACGGGGGCGCCAGGGCCCCAGTTAACTTAAGCCATCACTGCTGCCTCCCAGGGAGTGCATAGGCAGGAAGCCGGAGCCAGGCGCTCCAATACGGGCTGCAGGCGCCCAGGGCAGTGTCTCAGCCTCCGCCCTGGATGGCAAGGACTGAGCCGGCTCCCTGGCCCCGCCCCGGCCCGCCCGGCCCAAGGGCGCACTCACAGGGCAGCACGTGGATGAAGACCTCGCGGGTGACCTCCCCGCGAGAACTCACGGCCCGGCAGAGGTAGGTCCCCGCGAACTGGCGCTGGACGGGCCTAAGCTCGCCGATGGGCAGCGGAGCCCCGGTTCCCTCGCGGCGGCAGCTGAGCTCCGGGCGCGGGTTCCCCCAGGCCTCGCATCTCAGAGTCTGCTGGCTGCCCTCCTGCCAAGTCCAGTTTCCCAGGCAGTCCCTCTCGTCCAGTCTCGGGCCATCTGGACAAACACAGCAAGGGGGAGGCGTGCAAGGGGCGGAGCTTGGGGACCAGGGGGATGGGGGAGCCCCCCTAGCGGTGGGACCTGGGATGGGCGGTCACGGGCCAAGCCACGCCACTCACACAACACACGCAGCTCCCGGGTCTGGTTTTTGCGTAGCACCTGCCCGGCCACGTCCAGGGCGGCAGAGCAGGAGAAGCGGCGCCCGTTGTCCTCGGCGCTGGCGTTCAGCCGCAGCTGGGCCCGCGCGGACACCGGCCAGGCTGGGGTACCGTCCAGCGTCACCCTGGTTCCGTCGTGGCCCTCACACTGCACAACCACCTCGGTGCCTTCGGAGACCTCTGGCTCGCTCAAGGTCAGGTTGGGAGCTGGGAAGCCTGGGAGGCGGGGCATACCGTGAGCCACGCCCCCTCTGCGTCCTGCCACGCCCCCTCCGGGGAAAGCCCGCCTCCGCAGTGGCCCCCTCTTACTGTACACAGTCACTTCGGCCGTCGCCTCCACCCGCCGGTTCCCCAGTAGCACCGCACACACCACCTGCTGGGCACCTTCCTCCTCCGCTGTCCCACGCACGGAGGCCATGGCGCTGACCGCGTCCTTGCCGTGACTGACGGTGGCGTCCAGCTTCCGGCCCCCCAGTTCCAGCTGGACCTGCGCCTCCGGGGCAGGGAAGAGCCCATCCAGGGAGCAGGACACGTGGCACTGAGCGCCCACCTCCACGACTGCGGGGGTGGCGGCCAGCTGTGGCCCAGTCACCGGCAGCTCTGGGGGTGGGGAGGGGGACAGGGCAGGTGTGAGCAGGATGGGGGATGGGATGCCCCGAAGTCCTTTTCCTGGGGATACTGTCATTCCTCATCCTGTCTCCTTGCACCCCTCGGCCGGGGTCAGGGGAGCCCCTGCCCGCACCCCATCCCAGATCACCGGCCACCCTCCTGGAACCCATGCAGTCTGGTACCCCCAGGGCTAGGGGCCCTGGCCATCCCAGGAACCCCCACACCTTGCATGGGAAGGCAGCTGTTTGCCCGCCCCGCCCCTCCAAAAGCCTCACCGAACGTTTGCAGCTGCCTGGGGGCCGAGACGTTCTTGAACAACTCCAAGCCCAGGGGCCGCAGGTCCAGTTCGGTGACGCAGGAGAAATTGGCGCCGTGGTCGCTTCTGTCGGCCTGCACCGTGGCCGTGACCTCCGCGGGCTCCCCCAGCGCCGGCTGCCGGCTCAGCTCCTCCTCCCCGCGGAGCAGCAGCACCGAGAGCTGGGCCCGGGGCTGCCCGCCCACCACCCGGCAGCGCAGGGTGAGGTCCTCCCCGACGGGCTGCCAGGGGGGCAGGGGCGCCAGCTCCACGCTGTCCGGGGTTGCTGTGGGGGCACAAGGAGGAAAGTCCCTTGAGCTGGCCGCCGCACCCGTCCTGGCAGCCACACTCCACCAGCCGCGCCAGCTCAGCAGCCAGGAACGCAGAGAGCTTCGGAGACAAGGCCCCGAGTGTTTGGGAAAGCGGTCAGAAATTCTTGAGTGGTTAGGTGAGCCCTGGGAGGGACCAGAAGGTGTAGGTAGCACCACGGGGCCTGCTCCCCTCAGCACCGGGGGCTGCAAGAAGTGCAAGCGGGAAAAAAGAGTAGGAAGTTACGTGTGTTTTGAAGCAAATATTTTTGGAGACTGGGTACCGTGGCACAGCGGGTAAAGCCGCCACTGCCAGCATCCCACATGGCCGCCGGTTCGAGTCCGGCTGCTCCACTTCCGAGCCAGCTCCCTGCTAATGCGCCTGGGAAAGCAGTGGAAGATGGCCCAAGTGCTTGAGCCCCTGCACCCGCGTGGAGACCCGGATGGAGCTCCTGGCTCCTGGCTTCAGATCGGCACAGCTCCGGCCGTTGCAGCCATTTGGGGAGTGAACCAGTGGATGGAAGACCTCTCTCGCTGTCATATTCTTTATTTTTTTTTTTAAGAAAGTACTCATGGATGCCCAAAATGAATATTCCTTGCATACACACAGCACACAGGCTGGGACTCTAGGCCGTGGATCGCATTCGGCCCAAGGGACGGACCAGACCTGATGGGGAGTGGCTCAGAACAGATCTCCCTCCCCTGCACCCAGCGTCCCCCGGAGGGTCTCAGCGTCTGCGCCTCCCCAGCCCCTGCTCCCGGGGCCTGGACATGGGCACAGCGGTGCCACTGAGCGACCGGGAGCCAGCAAGGCCTCGGTTCCACTCCCAGCCTGGCTGCGGCTTTGCCTCAGCTTCCCGAGCTGTAGAATGGGGCTGTTGGAGACGGGCGTTCGGCTAGCCCATGGAAGAGGGTGACAGAGTGAGCCGGTTTCCTTTTCAGGGGGGGATGCAAGTGCCGTGCAACGAAGATGTGGTGACGGTCGCACGAGGCTATTAATATACCAAGAATGCACGTGGTGGATTGTGTGCTGTGTAAATTCTCCCTCAAAAAAGCCGTGAAAAAAAAAAAAACGGTAAAATAAAGGTCAAGAGAGACCTCAGGGGCCAGGCTCTGGTCTCCAGCCACCTCCTCCTGCAGCCTGCGGCATCTGAGGCTTCCTCCCCCAACCCCGAAACCTCAGCCCCACCTACCCCCCAAGGAGCCCAGCCATCCTCGGCCAGGCCCGGCCCGGCTCCGGGAGCAAGTCTGCCCTGCCCGGACCTCCCCTTGACCTCGAACTTGAACTTCAGGGCCTCTCCACCTCAGCCTGCCTCATTCTTCAAATATTTGTCTGGCCTTTCCCTCTTGGGCACTGCCAGGGCCCAGACCACGGGGAGAACAGGCAAAGCCCACGGCCAGGCTGCCCCTGTTTCCTGTTTGAGTCCAGCCCTCTGCTCACTCACCCCCCACGGCTCCCCAGCACCCCGCCGACAAGAGTTGTCCAGACTACCCTCACCTGCCGCCTCATTAACCGATCGGTCAGCAACTTCTCCTGCCTGACATCGGGACGCTCCCCGTTCCACACTTCTGTCTAGGCGCTTCCTGTTTCAACAAACTCCTACACATCCCTCAAAGCCTACCGCCTAGGAATTCCATGTCTAACCTTTGTGGAGAAGGGATGTCACCCACACCGGTGGGGGGTGGGGTGGGGAGAAGGCCAGGCTCGAGTCTCCCCTCCCCTTGAAATGGAGTGTTCCATTTCACAGATGTGGAAGCTAAGGCAGCACAGCACCCGAAGGCCCAGCAAGGCAGATGGATCTCAAGAGCCAGGCAGGAAGGCACCAGGTCCCTCGCACAGTTTCCTGGGGGGGGGGGTGTTTCAGGGGTTACTGGGAATGTTTAGGGCTTTCCCTATCCCAGGGGCGGGGCCACACTTGCTCAGTCAGCAGAGATAAGGCCGCCGAGGGCCCAGGGCGTTCGGGCTGTGGCTGTGCCAGGAGCAGTCTGTGCTCACGGGCTGCAACCCCAAGGTCGCCCACCAAGGTCCCTGGCCTATAAGAGCCACGCTGGGGCTGGGGCCCGAGATAAGTAATTCCAAAGCCATTCCCTGGGGCCGGCGCGGCATCCCATACTGGTGCCAGTTCGAGTCCCAGCTGCTCCACTTCCGGTCCAGGCTCCCTGCTGGTGGTCTGGGAAAGCAGTGGAGGATGGCCCAAGTGCTTGGGCCCCTGCACCCACATGGGAGACCCGGATGGAGCTCCGGATCGGCCCAGCTCCGGCCGCTGTGGCCATCTGGACAGTGAGCCAGCAGATGGAAGGCCTCTCTCTGTCTCCCCCACCCCCCTCTCTCCAACTGTGCCTTTCAGAGAAATAATTTCTTTTTTTTTTTAAATCCGCTTCTCTGTTTTTCTTCCTTGTTTTGATTCGCTTTGACTCACACGCGCACACACACACACACACATTGTGCGTGTGCATTCTTGCTTTGGTGACCCATTCTCCCAGCTCAGAATCCCTGAGGGCACGCAGACACACAAAGAAAACAACCCCTCCCAACCAGCGCCAGCACCCTCTCCAAGAGCCGCTCTGCCCAAGGCCAACGGTGCTCCTGGGGGGTGCACAGCACACAGGCTCCGCCCCACCAGCGGGGGGCGGGGGCCAGGCCCTTTCAATCTCACAGCGCACCCCCGGGGTGCCTTCCTTCGTGTCCAAGGAGCCACCTCTTTCTTTTACACGGCTGCATACTATTCCACTGCACGCCCAAACCACTTCTTGCCTTCGCAGGCCTCTGCATTCCTCTGCCCTTCGAGCACAGCTCTGGCAAATGCCCCCGGGGCCCCTGGCAGGCCCCCTGCCGGGGCTGGTGCCCAGGACTGCCACCCAATTCCCCACCGCCAGGCCGTGCAGCCCTGCCCACACAATCCTCCTACAGCTGCCGCTGTGCCAAAACCGGGCCTCGTCTGGGTGCTCATTAGCAAGGGAGCCGGCACTGGAAGCGGAGTTGGGATAGAACCCAGGCGCCCAGCGCGAGTTCCAAGCAGGGTTTAACCCGCCCCAGTCTGTGTATTTTGCTTTATTTATTTATTGGAAAAGCAGAGCGACAGAGAGAGAAAGAGACAGACAGACAGGTCTTCCCTCTGCTGGTTCGCTCCCTAAATGCCCACAACAGCTGGCACCGGGCCAGCCTGAAGCCAGGAGCTCCCTCCGGGTCTCCCACGCAGGCGACAGGGACCCAAGCCCTTGGGCCACCGCCCGCTGCCTTCCCAGGCACATTAGCAGGGGCCGGTCCCATGCGCCCCGGGGGAGCCCCTCCCCGGCCCGGCCACTCACCGTACACCGTGAGCCTGGCAGAGGCCATGGACTGGCTCTCACAGTCGGAAAAGCAGATGAGGGTACTGTCTTCCTGCACGTCACTCAGCTCGAACACCTTCCAGTTGTCCCCGTGGGCCACCTCCTCCTTGCTCAGCTGCGTCTCCAGGCCGAGCTTCGACGGCTCGGCGCAGGCGGCGCTGCAGTTGACCCGCGTGGAGCCGCCACGGGGCAGCGTGACTTCCGAGGGGAACACCGACGTCTGCGCGTCCCCGGGGCCTGGGGCAGGGCGGGGCGGAAGGAGCGCGCATGACCAACCCCGCGTGGGCGCGCACGTGCACGCGTACGCGCCGCCGGGCACAAGCCAGGGCTCCCTGTGGGAGCCCCAGGAGGGCTCATGAGCAAACAACAGATAACTAGGAACCGATGTTCCGAAATCAGAGCTTGGAGAACAAACAGAGACCGTGTGGGCCCCGCCGAGAAAAGGGAAAGCGATTTCAGGCCGCAGGAACCGGCAGGTGCAGGTGCAGGGCGGTCGGGGGCCCAGTGAACCATGGCGACAATGGTGGGGGGCTCCAGAGGCCTCCGCGCTGAAGTCGTGTCCTTCCACCCAGGGCGGCTGGAGGCAGAGGCTGACTTTAAGGCCAGTTGCCTCTCCCCACACCACCACCACCAGGAGGCCAGCTCCCCCCAATCAGGCTCCTCACCCCTCGGGACAAGTCGTTCCCCCTGTCCGGGCCTCGATTTTCCCATCTGTAATGCGGGTGCATTGGAGTCACCCCACCCAAGCCAGGCCAGCAGCGTAGCCAGTGGCTACCTCGAAGGGTAAGTAGCAAGGGGCCGTTTTCCAAGCCACTCCTTAAACTGTGCCCCCAAAACAGAAAAAATAAAAATCCCATGGAAGCCGCCCCTTCCCACCACCCCCCCCCCCAGGGGCCCAAAGATTCCTGTTCTGCTTTGCTTTATCTGGGCTGGATGGGACGGGATGGGGGGCGGGGGTGGGGTGGGGGAGGCTGGGAGAATCGCAGCGGCAAAGGATCTCCCAGAGAGGGAAGCGGACTCGCTCCCATTGCTCGGAGGGCAAGGTAGAGGCCCGGAGAGAGGAGAGGTTCCCGAGCTACACACGGGTGCCAGGGAGCTCTCCGGCTCCCGCTTCCCGCTGTGGGGGGCGGGGTCACCCTGCAGCCCCTGGGCCGGTCCCCCCCCCACGCTGGGGCCGGGGTTTCCAGGGGGCGGGGGGCGCGCGCTGCGGCGTCCCACTGCTCAGCTCCTGACCCCGAGAGAAGCGCGCCCTGGAATTCCCCCGAGCCTTGGACTTCCCCAGGGGGTTAGAAGAGGAGGAACAGAATGTGTCTTGGGCAGGGGGGGGAGAGGGGTCCCCAAGATTAATGAGTTTGGCGCGGGGCCAAACTCGCCTTCCAGCGCGTGACCAGGCTGTCCCGGGGCCAGGGGCCAGGCGCCGGGCGGAGCGGGGCGGGGCGGCCACGCGAATCCCGCAAGGGCAGCGGCGCCACGACCCTCCCCCACTCCCGAGAAACTGAGTCAGGGAGGCGCCATCCCGGCGGCCCCCGCGGGATGTGGCTTTGAGCCCACCGCTGCCGACTCAGCAGCGGCCCCGCTCGGGAGACCGAGGGGGCGGAGGATGGTCTCGATCCTTCCACACCTGCGCCCAGGGCGCGCGGCCGTGTGTGACCCGGGACTCACCTGGCAGCAGAGCCGCGAGCAGGGCCAGGAGCGCGGGCAGCGCGCGCCGGACGCGGTCGGGAGCCATAGCGGGCAGGACGCGGGCGGAGCAGCGCGGAGCCGGGGCGCAGGGTGCGCACTGGGGCGGCGAGCGGCGCGCGGGTCCTCTTATAGCCGCCGGCCACGGGGGGCCTGGGGGGGGGGGCGGTGCTTTCCCGGAAACCTTGAGCCTTCCCCTCCGGAACAAGGGCTCAGGCATTTCCGGGCTGAGACGGTGCCCGGCCCGAGAAGGGGGGTCCTCCCTCGCTGGCGGCTCCCGCGCCGGAGTTTCCAAACTGAAGCAAGGAGGGCGCGGCGGCGGCGGCGACCCCGGGGCGGCGGGGCGGCGGGGCTGCGGACCGCCCCGCCGGTCCCCTCCCCATCCCGGGCCGGGCTAACCTGGATTCCCTGTTTGCACTGCGTTAGGCGCTTTAGTGACTCCTACCGGCTTCCCTGGGGGGATTGTGCCCATTTCACAGAGGGGGTAAACTGACTCCCCAGCGCGCACGGCGCTCCTTAACCGAGCAGACCGCCCCCCTTGCTAGGGTGGGCTTGCTGGGAGTCCAGGACTCCTCCCGGGGCGCACCCGCGGGCCCCGGAACCTCAGGGTGCGCGCGTGAACCTCGGGTGCTTCCACCCCCGCGGCCTCGCTTCCCCTTTTGGCCTGGGCCGCGGGGGCGGCTCTCGCAGCTCCCAGAATCAGGAAGGAAGCCTTGTGGTCCTGACGCCGCCAGCGCCCCCGCTGCTTTCTCAGGCTCCGCGGGGTAAACTGAGGCAGCGGGGAGCAGGGGAGCCGGGGAGCCGGGGCGCGTGCGCTGAGCAGGCGCGGCTGGAGCCAGCATCCAGGCTGGAGACCCCAAGGACCCGGGCACTGGCCTGGCCGCCTTAAGCTTCCTGTTGTTGGACGCGCTTGGGGTCGCCATGGAGACCTGCAAGGGGCCAGGGAGGTCGCGCAAAAGGGGAAGGGAGGGGTCCCTCCCCGCGCCCCGGCTGTTTCTAAGGAATTTCCACGGGGATCTTTGTTTTCTTGGGGGAGGGGGTGGCTCGGGGGTCTTGAATCCCCGCCCCGGGGCGGCCTGGGCAGAATCAGAGAGTGGGACCGAGGGCGTGTGTGTGCCTTTGAGGGTCTGGGAAAATCCAACCGGATTTTTCTGGGGCGCGCACGGCCCCCTTGCCAACAGGTGCGCGGGCGGCGCGCGCCCCCTAGCGGCGCAGAGTCCGCCTGCAGCGCGCTCGGGTGGTTTAGCCGTCTCAGCTTGTGGTGTGGGGGTTTATTAAGCACCTACTATGCGTCAGGTGTTTGTTGCTACGGGGGGGGGCGGCGGGGCCTGGGGAGGGAATATGAAATGTTAGGTTTGCAGATAAGAGCAAGAGCACCCATCTGTTGGTTCATTCTCCAAAATTCTCCCAAAGGGAATGACTGCCCCCAGGCCAACGCCAGGAGCCAGGAGCTCCATCCGGGTCTCCTACACGGGTGCAGGGGCCCAAGCACTTGGGCCACCTTCTGCTGCTTTCCCAGGTGTGTTAGCAGGGAGCTGGATCGGAAGTGGAGCAGCTGGGACTCGAACCAGCGCCCACATGAGATGCAGTTTAACCCGCTACACCCCAACTGCCAACCCCAGCTGATCAGCTTGAAGCAGAGTATTTTGGGAAAGACCTAGGAGGTGACATTTGAACAAAGCCCAGGAAGGCACCAGGGGACAAGGGGGACATGCAAAGGGCCTCAGGTCATCACCGCGGGAGGACTTTGCTCTTACGCGTAGTGACTGGTGGGGCGGTGGCTGCTCTGGCCCAGGGGAGCCGGGCTGGGGCTGGGGCGTGAGGGGCACAGGTGGGGTCATGGCGGGCAGGGGACCCAGGGGCGCGCGCCTCCTGGTCCTGGGCCCCCTCGGCGCCGGTTCCCTGCAAAGAGAAGCAGCCGTTGCCAGCGCTTTGTCGCCATTTGCGGGAAGGGCACGGCTTCCTGCTGGCTGCCAGGCGGGCTCAGGCCGGCCAGGGAGCGTGCCTGGGGCCAACAGGGGCTTTGGACACAGAGCTGGGGCGGCCGAGGCCTGGCCCCAGCGTGGGCATCGCCGCTCCCGCTCTGAGCGCCCGTGGGGCCGCCCTGCAGTTCCCTTAGCCCTGATGTCCCTCCCGGCATCCCCAGCGTGGCCGACTCCTCCCTTCCTTCTCGTGGCCTGAAAGTTTTCCCGAGTGCTCTGGGCTCTGTCCCCGGCTCTGCCTGGGGCCGCACCCTCTTCCTCGCTCTCACAGTCTCTCTCTCTCTCTCTTTTTTTAAGATGTATTTATTTATTTGCAAGTCACTCCCCAAATGACTGCAACAGCCAGCACTGGGTCAGGCTGAAGCCAGGAGCCAGGAGCTCCCCCTGGGTCCCCTCCACGGGTAGCACCTGGGCCACGTGCATGGCCCGGAAGCTGAATTCCAAGTGGAGCAGCCGGGACTCGAACTAGCGCTCTGTCCGACACAGACGCTGATGTTCCAAGTGGTGGCTTAACGGGCTGTGCCGTAACACCGGCCCCGAGGCAGGATTTCTTAGGAGAGAAAACACCCGTGAGCAGGGTCCCTGTGGCTGCTCCCTGATGGCCTGCGCCTCTAGCTCAGGCCAGGCTGGGAGCCGGCTCCACCTTCCTCCCCCCACCCCCAGCACTAGTGAGAGGCGCAGCTGATAGGGGGTAACAGTTTAACCCAGCAAACCCAGGTCCGGGTTACAGCATCTCCTAGCCACACTCAGCAACCGCCACCCCACCCCCTCCCGTTGGTTCACTCCCCAGATGGCTGCAACAGCCAGGGCTGGGTCAGGCAGGATCCAGGAACCTGGAGCTGCATCCGGGTCTCTGGCAGGGACTCAGGTGCTAGGGCCACCCCCCCCCCCGCCCCGCCTTCCCAGGCGCATCAGCAGGGGTTTCGGTCAGAAGTGGAGCATCTGGGACGTGCACCTGTGCTGGCACTGCCAGCGGTGGACCCGTGCACCCCAGCCCCAGCCCCGGGGGTCCTTTTATTAAAAGCCAGCTCCAAGGGGGAGGGTGTTTGGTGCAGCATCCCACACCAGAGAGCCGGTTCAATACTCCGACTCCTCCCATAGAGCTCCCTGGGAGGTGGGTGGCAGGTGACTGATGGCTTTAGTGCTTGGGCCCCTGCCACCCACGTGGGAGACCCGGATGGAGCTCCTGGCTCCTGACTGCGGCCTGGCCCAGCTCCGGCTGTTGTGTCCGAGGGAGTGACCCAGCGGGTGGGAGAATATCCTACAATCGGGGATAGGCACCCACACCCCGCGGACTCGGCAGCTTTGGCTGTGCAGGGAGTACAGACGCAATCCCCAGAGAGACATTCCAGAAATGTTTTCAGTGGCAGGGCGGCCCAGCTGAGAGGGCCCCCTCCCCCGGGCCGCCCACGCAGGGGGGCAGGGGGCGGAGCTGGCGCCGTTAAGTAAACCACCCGCGTTGTTTTCCCTTCTGGCAGGGGTCAGGTCAGCGTGGCGCGGACACACCAGCAGCCTGCACGCTGGCTCGGGCTTTATCTGCTCATTGATGGCACGGCCCTCTGCTTTTAATTGTTTTATTTTTAAACCTTTCTTAATTTGAGAGGCAGAGAGGCAGAACTCTCTCACCTGCTGGTTCACGCCCCAAACGCCCGCCACAGCTGGGCCCACACAGCCCCTCCCCCCCCCCAGCTGGAACTCCCTCCATCCCGGTCCCCCACGTGGGCGGTGGGGGCCCAGGCACCCGAGCCATCACAGCTGCCTCCCGGGCGGGCGCGCGTGCGCAGGGAGGAGGCCTTGGAAACGGGGCGGGGACCCGACCCAGGCACTCCAATAGGGACACAGTGCCTGGGTTAGTTTAAGTGGCCGGCGCTGTGGCGTAGTGGGTTAAGCTGCCCTCTGCAGTGCCGGCATCCCATATGGGTGCTGATTCGAGTCCTGGCTGCTCCACTTCCGGTCCAGCTCTCTGTTCTGGCCTGGGAAAGCAGCGGAGGATGGCCCAAGTCCCTGGGCCCCTGCACCCGCGTGGGAGACCTGGAAGAAGCTCCTGGCTTCGGATCAGCACAGCTCCGGCCGTTGCGGCCAATTGGGGAGTGAATCGGCGGATGGAAGACCTCTCTCTCTCTCTCTTTTTTTTTTTTTTTGACAGGCAGAGTGGACAGTGAGAGAGAGAGACAGAGAGAAAGGTCTTCCTTTGCCGTTGGTTCACCCTCCAATGGCCGCCGCGGCCAGCGCACCGCGCTGATCCGATGGCAGGAGCCAGGAGCCAGGTGCTTTTCCTGGTCTCCCATGGGGTGCAGGGCCCAAGCACCTGGGTCCTCCACTGCACTCCCTGGCCACAGCAGAGAGCTGGCCTGGAAGGGGGGCAACCGGGACAGAATCCGGCGCCCCAACCGGGACTAGAACCCGGTGTGCCAGCGCCGCAAGGCGGAGGATTAGCCTAGTGAGCCGCGGCGCCGGCCAACTCTGTCTTTATTTGAGAGGCACAGTTAAGAGAATCTTCCATCCGCCTGTTCACTCCCCAAACAGCCATAACAATAATAGCTGGGGCTGGGCCAGGCTGAAGCCAGGAGCTTCTTCCGGGTCTCCCACGCGGGTGCAGGCGCCCAGGGACTTGGGCCATCCTCCACTGCTTTCCCAGGCCATAGCAGAGAGCTGCATCGGAAGCCGGGACTTGAGCAAGTGCCCAGAAGGGATTCGGGAATGGCAGTGGGCAGCTTCACCCGGCCTTGCTGGGCCACGGGCGCGCCCCTGCCCCTGCGTGGGCATAGCGGACACTGGTCTGAGGGACGCCCAGATCTGCACAGGGCGCCCGCCAGGCCCAGGGACCGGAGGCCCTGCTGATCGCCCGCCACGGCAGGCAGACACCCTCGAGGACGGGCGCCGCGACAGTGCCCGGGGCGGGCCGCCCTCAGCCAGCTCGGGGCTGAGTCACCGGGGACAAGTCCCTTCTGGCAATTTCCGTAAGCCACACGCCCGGCACGCCCCGCAGAGTTGTTCCAACCCGCAGCGGCTGAGCTGGCCTGCTTACTCTCTCGGGGTAAAAAATAAACTTTATTATTTATTTAGAAAAAGAGAGGCGACACGGAGCCCCGGGGCTCAGGGGAAGTCGCGGTAGGGCAGGCGGAAGGGGTGCAGGGGCGCGTAGCGCGAGTCCTGCCACAGCAGCTTCTCCTCCAGGAAGGCG